AGACATTCTGAACACTCTCTTGCTGGATTCAATTTATATGGAGCGGAATTAGATTCAAGTGATTAGTTTACATCCACGAACTCAGAATTTGGGTGTTTTTAGTCTGTTAGCTTTGGACCATGCTCCGCACTGGGTGGTCTCCCCACTACCGAACCTGAACTCAGGCTATAGGCTGTCAGCAGGGAACAAGAACACGTTTTCAGCAATCAGCAAGAAGCGTTATCTATAATTATTCAAATCTGGCTCAGTGAGACAGTGTTCTCGAAGGTTACAAAATATTCGATGAAGAAGCTGATGGAGTTCTTGAATTTTCTTCTGAAACAGTTTGAATTTGTTTTTAGAATGAAAGGACAAGTTTAGTTTTACATAACTCGTTTTCACTTCTCCCGTTTGTATCGAAACGATCCCGGTTGAATCGGTAAGCGAGCGTAAAGCCCCGTGCAAACAGACGGATTATTGTTGGCCAACAACTCTCAACATTGTTGGATGTTACATGTACCTCCGTTTGCACACCCTGTTGCATGTTGTTGCTTTTTAAGTTGTTGCGTTTTGTTGGGAGTTGTTGCACAAAGTTTGAAGCCGATCAAACCTTTACCCACTTGCAAAAGGACGCAACAACTCTCAACATTGTTGGGCCAACAATGTTGAGAGTTGTGGCGTCCGCTTGTACGCAATCTAACAGGTTAACTGAACTCTTCAGGGCGTGAAATAACTTATATATTCACTAGTTAGGGGCGAAAGGTTTTTAACTATGAAAATCTTAACAGGTACCTATAATGATTCACTATCTGCTTGCGTTTTCGTGATGTTTCTCCTCCTTGCACTTTTCAGTCAAGGTTTTGGTTATTCCAGTATTCTGATAGCCATTCTCTATGTCGAAGCTTCTCGGCAAGCAGTCTATCCAAAGATAGAGGAAGGAGCAACCTTCTAGTGCTTTTTCTTCTCTTGTTTCCTAGCTGAAATAAGCCTGGGGAGAGGTTGGGAGAGCAAGTACTCCTGGTGACGGACTATACTGTATATTCCCCATGTTATGGTCAGAAAGTCCGAAAATGGGGAGGGGTTGCACTTCCCCTCTCATTTTCTAAGGCAAAAGTCCTGAGAACGAAGTTGAGCCACTATGGTGATTTTTATTTTTAAATCACTATGATCACAATCATGCTGTAGAGCCCCAGATGATCCATTTTGAGGTTTTTTATCACCTGGTATGCAGGAGCCACTTCGCCGATGCCCAGAATATCATTTTTTAGATCAGGCAACTGAAAACAAAAAGAAGAATAGTTTGGGCATTCGTCCAAAAAAGCTTTTCCACAGTTTTAAAGCTTTCTTTGGACGAATGCCCAAAGTATTCTTTTTTTTTTTTTAGCCTAAAAGCTTTTGATCTTCTTTGCAAATTTGAGACGAGGTGAACATTGATTGGCGGACTGAGCAGAGGTTTTTTTATCCATCTGAGGGACCTCCAACCTTAACTTATTCGCTTTATGTGAACCTTTTCTGGCAAACTTAGCTTGCTAACTCATGTCACTAAGGGCTACTTCGTCGAGTTCGTTTTTTGTACCTAGCCGTCTTTATATCCACCTTAATCTTCGCTGCTTTATTCGGGACTTTCGCTCCTTCCCTTCGTTTCTTGTCTTCAAAACCGTCATTTCTCTATGAGAATTTTACCACCAAAACATTCGGAATTTTCCTGTGTTTTTAGCAGTTTCTTCAACTGATAAGCCAGTGGATGGAAATATACATATTTATGCTCTCACGTAACTGAGCGCTTTTGCGTTAGAGTTAGGGTTTTTCTTTCATGATATTCACAAAAAAGGAAGGAGTTCGGGCTAAAAATATACTCACACGCGCCTTTGTCGCAAACGTACAGACATCGATAAATACGAGTCAAAAGATGTCACAACAAGCATGAATTACTAAATCAGATTAAAAAGAAACAACTTTTGCTTGCATTACGTATACAGACTTATAAAGAAGAGGAACGGACTTTTGGGACACTCTGTGGTCCCGCCCGGCAAACACACCTCTGTCACGTTTTGCGCTGTCATCGTTTTCACACAAGAACGGAGGTTCTATTTATGAGCCATAATAAGCTTCTATAATTACACACCACATGACCTATAACGATCAGTTATATTAAAAAGCCACTCAGTAGCTGCGCATTTGTTAGGAAGGGCTGAATACAGCGTGGAGGAACCGTCCAAAAGACCAGTATGAAGTCTGCTGTTGTTCTTGCAGTTTTTCTGACATTTAGTTGCAGCGATGCCTTTGGTATCAACACAGTGTCGTCTCTGAATGTTACCCAATATCTTGGCCGCTGGTACCAGGTAGTTTAACCGAAACGTAAATGTGTGCTTGAAAGACAATGTATCGGTATATTTGAGTGCTACGCAGTGTACTGTAGTATTTGAGAGGAGTTTGAAAATGCTCAATTCAAATTGCTTTCAACAATAAATTTTGTTTTTTGCTGGGGACAAATCTAGTAGAGTCAGTAGAGCTACTAGCACGTACGCTTATGTAATACATGGGTCGCGTCACGAACTGCAAATAAGTAGATACCACGCGATCCGTAGGATCTAGTGAGAGCTCACATTCATTCTGGAGATAGCAAATATCGATAGTTCAACTTAAGAAATTGTGTTTCTGTTCTGTCGGGTAATATGGGATGATTTCATATGGAGTGATTCTTAGCGAGGATAAGAATATTAATGTCAATATTTTAACACGCGTAAAATCCTATCTGTTTTGATACTTAGAAAGAATTAATCCGCCTTAGTGGAGTAGCTAAACCGAGGGAAAACTGAATCATTCAGAAAAGTTTAATTGGATTTGGAAGACAGAGAGTTTGCGATATATTTATGTATATTAAATAGCAATAAACATTTCAGACTAAGGGGTGGTATACTAAAGGGGCATCTTTTCTTTGAAAGATGATTTGTAAAAAGATAAGAGGTTTGGCCTCGGGATTGAGCCTTCGTAAATATTAACAACAACAACAACAATAACATAAGCTTTATTTGCATGACTGAAATATAACTTTATCAAGTGCCCCGGCCTCCCCCCTGTTCCCTCCCGTATCTTATCTTGGCGAGCAACACGGGTCTTGAAACAACCCACTAGAAAAGCGCCTTTCGCGGCTATAATTTTCATACAGACTCAGAGAACGGCAATGAATATTGCTTCAAGGCATTTGTTTTTTGCAGATGTACTCTGATGCCGCGGTGATGGATACTTTTGAGCGTGACGCTGTTTGCGTGACAGCTGATTGTGAGTAATAAGTTTTTCGTTAGTCTCTCTCGCACACAAAAGGCTACGAGGATGACTCGGGGGGGGGGGGGGGGCTTCGGGGAATTCTTGGTGGAGGGGTCCCCCCATGTGGAAGATGCGCTTGCTGGCGGGGGAGTTGAAGTTTTGGGCCGGTGCCGTGTTTTCGGGATGCTTAAGTGGGAGATAAAAGTTTTTCGTTTGTCTCCCTCCACACAAAAAGGCTGCGGGGTTGTCCGGGGGGGGGGGGGGGTGCTTCAGGGAATTCTTGGTGGAGGTGTGCCGCCCTATTTCAGACCAAAAAACGTCATTTTTCACACGCGTTTTCAGACCTGACCTCGAGGAAATTATGTCATCATTACTTAGACTAGAAGGTAACAATAAAGATTTCTTAAAATCCATTTCCAATTCGCATGTTTCTCTTTCTTTCTTACTCATTTGGAATTAAAAGTATAAATAAGTTCTTACACTTCCGTAGATCCCTTGAAAACCATAACCGTTTTCAGACCAAAACGGCGGTAAAACCATACCCTTTGCTCCTTTTAGCACTGGTTTACTTGCTTATTTTTTTGTCGGTTGAAATTCTGTCTACATATACCCTATCTTCTTGCCTTTAAAATAAAAACACGCCATGGGCGTAGAGCATAGTTAAAGATTGTTTTGTCTTAATATTATGTTAGAATTTTCTGAACTCAGAGCAAATATTCTGTTTGAATTCGTGGCTCTCACAATTAAAGCGGAAGCTTCATTAGCAAAATGAAATTGTAAAACTTCAACTTTCTATCACATGATTCACTCAGATCACATATTTTTTTTACTTTTTGTGGCCTCCTAATATTGTTGCTTTTGTTTAGATTCTCTTCGAAAAGACGGCAAGATCGGTGTTCTGAACAGTGAAAGGCTCAAAACAGAAACTGGTGAAGCAAAGAGCATAACAGGATATGCCTACATACCCAACCCAAAAGAACCAGGGAAGTTGAAAGTGCACTTGGAAGGAACTCCTTTTGACGCCCCTTGTAAGTAGAAATCAAGATACGCCTTATATTAAAACGTAGCCTGTTCCAGGCGTTCAGATAGTGGAGCACGGGAGAAAAATTCACGAAGAAAAAAAAACGAGGGAAGACTAGAAGGAGAAAGGGTGTACAATGTAACTCGCTCCCCACTGACCGCCGCGCTCTACTATCTGAACGCCTGGAACAGGCCAATTAAAACGTCTTATCTGCTGCGTAAAGATGACCTCTCTAAAGACGAATAAAGTCAACTCCAGCTCCCATCCTCATTTATGGATCTGTAATGTATTATCAGTATTGCATAGAGTACGTCCTGGGCTGCCTGTGCGGTCACACCTTGTGTAGCATTGAAGTTCTTCTTTAACGTGTCTTGAGCCTGTGTAATCAGATGCTCTTTTCTCTCAACAGACTGGGTTGTAAAGCTGGGGCCCGCATCGTTCGGAGAGAAAAATTTGTATCAGTACGCAGTCGTCACAGACAACTTGCAGATTGGATTGTACGTGCTGGCGAGGGATGTCAACAACTTCAGAAGCCAGTATGATAAAGAAGTATTAAGCTGGCTGGCCGAAAATGGCTTCACACATTTTTACAACAAGCCTGTTGCAACAGTGCAGAACGAAAAATGTCTCTACCCAGACAAAAAGTATTTCTATCAGCCAATCGGAGACTTCCTGAAACAGAAGTAGATCGCAGTGCTTCCCACTGAACCGAGAGGTCAAGTGGATACGAAGTAGCGCTTGAATTCCAAAACGTGGAACGCCCCCCAATAAACTGAAAAAATAATAATGCTCGATATCTAGATTAAGCAGGAAATTTTGATATTTTAAAATGAGTTTGATTATTTTTCCCAAAGGAAATGGAGAGAATGCTTAAAGCAATCATACTTTTATTGTTTGTAACAAGCTAGTTGAATAAAAATTGTCGCTTATGTACCTGGTTTAAAGCGTGACGAGTTTACTTCTCTTTTTGAGCATTTGCCTCAGTGTATTTTTAGCCGGGTTTTTGAAAACGTTATCTCAAAATGGACCTTTTGCGTCCAACAGTTTATTTCGGCAAAAACTATCTCCAAAGTAGCTATTGTAAAAACTAAGAGTACAACCATTGCTTTTTTCTCTTCTCCTTCCTTCCTTTCCTCGCACTTTCTTTTTTTTCCTTTCCTTTTCCTTCGTTACTGTGATTTTGGAACTTCTCGGGCTTAAGAAACCTGCATTTTGACCCCTATTCACTCAAATGACTGCAAATTTCGTTAGGTTGGTTTTCAAAAAATCCGTTAGACATATTTTCACCCGTTAGTGGAGTGAGACATCCGCCCTTGCTGGATTCAACTTATCTGGCGTGGAATTAGTCCGGTGTAGCAGAAGTAACGCGGAGTAGCGCAAATCGACATATTTTTGTCTATTCTGCGCAATGCGTGCGTGTGGGAATCCAATATGGAGTCTGAAAATAGCTTCCCTATCGACGAGATTTGAAGTTCCATTTCTCAGAAACCAACGCATTACAGAGCACCATAGTTTGGGAATTTTTTTAAAACTATGTCTAAAATTTCCAATTATTGAAAAAAAAATCCAAGGTAATTTTTGAAGTTCTAGCTTTTCCCACCACTTCAAGATAGCTAGTTTACATCCACGAGCTCATACATGCTTTGAGAATTTTTTTTTTTGGCGTTTGGTCTGAAAATGTTTCCTTATAGGAAAAAGACCATTTTCATCCAGCATCCTGCACTTACTCACTTCTTACGGACAAGTGAAAAATCATAACAGCTTGCTAGTAATTGGCTATCTGCTTGAGTTTTCTGCTAATAAAACAGCTACATATGTATTTTTGAATTAAAATTTGTGGCTTATAATACTCTTGGAATTGTTAAACTAAACTTCGTATTGTCCACAAAGAAAACAGACTTCGTATTGTTTACAAAGTAAAGATATAGGCTTCGCTCATCTGAAAAAGACACATTTAAATCAGAAAAAAGCCCTCTTGCAATTTTATGATGAATTAATTGGTTGTAAAACTAAAGGCAGTCAAAACAAACATAATACAGAAGATTCTAGTTACAGCTTAGGTAAACATTTTTAGGGAGTAATGTGACGCGGGACTTCGCCTGCTGCTTCAATATATGTTCTTAAGCTGCGTAAACCGTTTACAAATATCTAAAAATTCTGAACTTAATACTCCAATTAGCTCCCGGGAAGCTTAATTTTCTGAGTCGAGATGGGTTTCAAGGGGCGAGTACTTCATTATCCAAATTTTTGACTTAACATAACATTGTCTTTAGGTCAAGTAAACCGACACAAACTGTACTGACAGCAAACTAGAACGTAAGAACATAAGTAAGTCTGTGTGTGGTAGCTTTCAAAGTACTGTTTTTTCAAGCTCCTACATGTCTTGGTTTTAGCTATGGGGGGAGAGCTAAATTCGAAGAGGGGCGCTTATTTCAAGGAGGGTGGAAATTCGGGCATTCACGTTCAGCGATTTGAAAAGATTTTTCCTAAGACAAGGCAATAGGATAGCATTTTGTATTTATTTAATTTTCCGATTTTTTGCGACATTCAAGGGAGTGAATCGGTCTTTGAAAGCTTATATAATGCAAAGTGATTTCCGTCTCCCTTTTTTGGACTTGAAGGGCAAAAGAAACCAGTAGGATCTTGACCTTTTGAAAATAAGGAAGATAAATTAAAGTGGACTGAACTCGCAGAATAGCTACTTAACTAAACAAGTTTTGAATAATAATAAAGTGACGCCAAGTCCAGCCAAGTTTTGTTCTTTGCTTGTTCACCTAACCTTCCTCGAACTGTGACTCGATCGAACAAATAGCTATTGTGCACGATAACTCAATAGAGAATGAAGTCATTCTCTCTTGTTTAGCACTAAACTGTCATTGAGTTGTCCCCTCTGTGCGAAGATTTCGAGTTTCTCAAGATTTGTTAAAACAGAGGCTTTAGCCACAGAATTCATGCAATTGACGGGTAAGCCCCGGCCTTTAAGAGTAACGAAAACGTCATTGTTGGTTACACCATAACCGTTATTTTTGGTCCAAAAAGTTAAAAGTTTGTCGATCTGAAGGTTTATCCGGTGATCACCTTAAAATCAGGTTCTTAAATTGCGGGGAGTAATATACCAGCTTAATGAATAGAACAGAGGGAGTCTATTACGAAGAAAACTTTTTGACACAACCGGTCAAAGACAGGTGAGCGCCAGGCTGTGTAAATGAAACGATTGTTATTTATTTCTAATGGTATAACTAAACATTATTTAGGTGATTGCTAATTGAATACTTACCAGGCTTACACTTTGACTTTGGTAAACACAGAGGACTGAAAAAACAGAATTCAGTAATATGAACGAAACATAACTAAACAAAAATGACATTAAGAATGAAAGTATTGTCTGTAATGTAAACTAAAGTGATAAATATAAGAATAGAACACGGTAAACACAGGCCACTGAAACATTTTCCGAGGCAACATGATAGAAAACAACAAAAGGAAAAGTGTTCAGGGCGTGTGATTATGTAATTTTTCTGTAAGCTTCACGTGTCTTCGCATGGATTAAAACAAGTATAAAGCTCAACCAGGCCGCTTCAGTTAGGCTATTGTACGTAGAGCGTTTCTGAAAGCATACAATTCGACTGGCAAAATGAAATTCGCTGTTTTGGTGTTTTTTACCTTGTTTATCTGGGGTGATGCCTTCTGGTTTAAGACAGTGCCTTCTCTCAGTGTGGACAAGTACCTCGGGCGTTGGTACCAGGTATGTTTCAAAAGTAGTTCAGTACGCTAGGCTATTTTTCATTTATATTCCATGTCTTCGAATTAGCCATTGGATACGTGAAATATAATTGAAACTTTTGAGTCTAGTATGAACGAAATCTTGTGATGCAACTATTTCAAGTGAAATCTGAACTCTAATCAAAAGAACTTTTACATTGGTCAAACCCCTTTTTACAGTCATTGTTTGATTGATCTTTTTTAAATCTGCACAATTCAATCTGCGAACCCTGAAAGGTCTAGTTTCATTGAGAACGATCATCTTCGTTCCAATTATTCCCTGTCTTTTCTAACGGTGAGAATTTGTGCTCTTTTGGTGCAAATTTTTGTCTGTATTTAGGATCATTGAAATTCCTAGAAGACTGAATGCACATCTCATTTGCAAAACAATAAGAAAATCAGTCCTCTTCTTCAAGCTGAGCTCTTAAGTTATCTTCCCTTTCCATCTATATAGGCAGTTCCTTACGTTAATTATTGCTGTTAGCGGTCATGTTTGATATACTGTATCATTTGTTTATTTCGTTTTCTTACACGTGATTTGAACAGATGTACGCCAGTCCCTTCGTGGTGAACACCTTTGAACGTGACGGAGTCTGCGTAACAGCTGATTGTGAGTGCATAATGAGAAGATTTAGCCAGCGATGCTCTCGTTAATATTTATAGTTTACTCAAACAAAATACAAAATCGTGTAATGCTAAGCGGCGACGGCAGTGAAAACGGCCAAAAAAAGTAGTAGGTCTAATTAGCAAAAGAAACCTAACTTTGCACGTGCAGCCCACTTTTTTGTACATTTCTTTGCCGTTGTTTTGGAGGAATACAACGTGAAACTTCCAGAAACTTCCTAGCTACACGTAACTTCCCCTGAGTTACATGTTGTGACCAAGTCGATTTTGAATAATCTATAGCTGGACTTGCAATGCACGCATGCGTACTTATAATTATGTGTGTGTGTTTTTTTTTTCAGACACCCAACGAGAAGACGGCAAGATCGGTGTGCTGAACAGTCAAAGACTTAAAACGGAAACTGGTGTCGGAAAGAACATAACAGGGTATGCCTACATACCCGATACCAAACAACCGGGGAAGTTGAAAGTTCGTCTTCAGGGTGGAGTTCCGTTCGCTGCTCCTTGTAAGTGATTGGCTAGTAACATATTGTTAAAAGCTGGAACCACCTTCAAGATGGGTCTGTACCAAGTTTTTGTGTCGCCTTGTTCTATCTAACAGCTCTTTAACGTTTTAGCGAATTTAACATTTTAAATTTCAAGAGTGTATTCTAGTGTGTGCTCTTCTTGTATTAATGTTTTGTATTTATACATAAATTTAATTGTTTTAGACTTCCTTCATAGCGTAGAAATAGCGTTTTTCCTCTTCTCTTTTTTTTTCTTTTTATGTGTGCATTTGTGCTTCAGTTTTCTTGCTGACCCGTAATTCAATTCTTTTTAATGCTGATGTCAATTTGCTACCTGGCTCCGCTAGCCCCCATGGCAAGCTCTTGCCCATGGTTATTCCAGGCAGCCAGTACTCTTATTTTTACTTTTAATATTTTCATTGTCGTAATTTATGTTTGAGCAAGAATGAGTACAAACAAAGATTGTTGTCGTTGTTGTTTCCGAAACAGTCAATTTTGCAAGAGCTGCCTCTTATAATCCACACCGTGTGGAACTATAGTTAGAGCAATCTTGAACAGAAGATTTAAGCGCCGTTTGAGGTTCCTTGCTTGTCGGCATAACTGATGGAACACCTTTTAATTATAACTGATTTTGTTGTTTAGCAAAGTTCCAAAACTTTCAAGCATCTTGTACGTTATGTATTTCGTACAAGGGAAGGTGTTTTATCGGGTATCGAAACACCAAGAAATGAGTCGAAAAAAGAGGCACACCAACTAAAAATTTGAGGAAGGTACTTTAAGGTGACTCATGATCAAATTCAGTAACAATTGTAGTGAAACAAGAATCAATTAGGTTTGTCTAGAGTCTTAAAACCACCCACTCAGGAGTGACGGGAGATCTTCCGGAATTCACAACTACAGAGCTAAGTTAACCACCTATGTTTATGTTCCATTTATGTTCTTGGAAATGTCGATCGCCCTTCATGATTAAAAAAAATAACTTCCCAATCCGATAACACGAACTAACAGTTTTCTCGATTTTTTTTTCTGAATTAATCGATTTTGATTAATTTTCCCAACAGACTGGGTTGTGAAGCTAGGACCCCCTTCGTTCGGCAACAAGGGTCTGTACCAGTACTCCATCGTCACGGACCCCTTGAAAATCGGTCTGTATGTGCTGGCGAGAGATGTGGACAACTTTAAAAGCCAATACGACGAGGAAGTCACAAGCTGGCTAGCAGAAAATGGCTTTAAACACTTTTACAACAAACCTGTTCCAACCGTCCAAAACAAGAAATGCCTGTACCCAGCCTAAAATTATCTATCGCCCCGAAAATTCCGCCTTGATAATGTTACGATTATGAGAAGTTGGCAGATTAAAGCGATAATAGTTCCAGTTTAAAAGCGGCTGTTGTTTGATTGTCGAGCAACTAGCCGGATTAATAATGTCGAATCTTGATTTTTCTCCCGTAGAAAGACTGTAAGGTAACATGGTTAAGCTTTTGAAATAAAGGAAATCTAAATAATTGACATTGCTGTCTGTTTTCGGATTGTTTCTGAACCATCAATTTTTTCCTAAATTGCCCCACGTGGTATGAGGACCATGATGGTTGATAAAACAATGTAAATTTCCCAGAATTTGTATGAAAAGACAATAGGTTATTTTATACAAGACAATCAGTTGTTTCTCACTTATTTGTTTTAGCATTTAAATGCAAAACGTAACTACAAATAAAATGGATGGCTAGTATTTTATTGACAGCCGAAGTTAATTAATACTTTTTACGTCGGTCTTTTCAGACAACCATATGCTCCATTTTCTTAACTATCGCAAAACACGGGGAAATAAGAACCTGAAAGTACTTCCTCAAAGGGGGAGAACCAAGCCAGATTGAATTTCCACTATGCCAAAATATTCTAAAAATTCAGTAGAAAAATAACAGAAACGCTTCGCATCGGTCTCGTGGAAATTTTCCGAAAAACGTGGTCCACCTCAAGAGCCAGGTGGTCCTCTTTGACTGGTCGGTCTAGTCCGACCGAAACTTGTCGTTCCAGCATGAAACATTCTCGTGTCCAATCGTCGGTGGAAAAGTTGGAAATCTTGTTTCTTTCACTGCAGGGAAAAGTGCAAACTACGAGGAATCAAGGCCGAAGGCAAAGATGGTAAATTACGCATTCGTCCCCGAATTTACATCCCCATGTAAAATGGGGTGCAAATGCGGTATTTATTATCTTTGCCCTCGGCCTTGATTCCTCGTAGTTTGCACTTTTTTGCACAATATTTGGCCGAGGAAATTTGTGTAAATCTAATTTTTCGAGCAATGTTCGTTCCATTCTGCCATTAGTTGATTCTACTCGTCCGTATGACCGGTCGGTCTGATGGGATAGCATGCAGCCATTGAATAGTATCACGTGACCTTGAATTCCGCTCGAAAGTAGGAGTTTAGTAGTTTAACTGTGCCCCATTATAAGGAAGCAATAACTATTGCAGAAAGTAAGTCAAGAAAATGTAACCCACTGGATATATGTCTGCCTTAGCAGGCTGAAGAATCTGGGAAGTTTCGTATTTCTAAACTGGTCTTTAAAAAACAAAAGCCAACTGAAAAGGTAAGAAATGTCGCAGAACTTACTAAGTGATAGCTATAGAAATGGTGGAAAAATAAAGTTATAGCAAAGACTCTAGATCTTTCTCTTAAACTCTCCTTTAAAGTACTTACAGTTATCTCATTTAACCCTCGGACGTGCAAGCAAACTCATACCCCCGCCGTGGTACAAGGATGGGGTGGGGGGGGGGGGGGGGGGGGGGAA